ACATAATGAAATTTTATCAAGAGTCACACTTTGTCTAAGTAACTTCAAAAGCCAATACTAAATAAAGTACCAAGAAGTAACAGCCAAACCACCTCCTCCCTGAAAGCCCCCAAATCAATTACATTCTAATAGGAATAAATCATAATAAATGATGATAATGTTAAGTAGGAAAATGTGAAAAAAGAAAAAATTACATACCTTGTTAATAGGAAAAAATGTGAAAAAAATTAATATGAGTGAAAATTATAAAAAAGAGCAAAAGAAATATTAAATATTTCATGAAGGCTACAAAACAAAGAAGTGATGACAAACAAATTTGACTAAAAGTAATTTTGGATGATTCAAATGGTATAATGCCAGGGTAAAAGTTATATCCTTCTGTTATTGTTGCTTTCTATCATTGTTGGTTACTTTGCATTTTCTAGACTTAAATGTAAACAGAATCTTTTTTTTTGGTCTAATTTCTTTCAGTGTAATTATTTTGAGATTCAGTTATATTATTATGTGTATCAATAATGCAGTGATTGTTTTTCATTGCTTAATAGTATTGTATTGTATGGATATGTCACAATTTGTTTATCCATTCACCTGTGGATGGATATATTATTTATCTATTGCTATTAACAGATTACCCCAAACTATAGTGACTTGAAACAACAAATACTTATTATCTAACTGTTTCCGGGCCAGGAATTTTTAGAGAGGCTCAGTCTTTTTTATAAGGTTACTATTAGGATGTTGGCTGGGGCTAGTCATTTGAAGGCGTCTTGGGATTGGAGGATCCCATTCCAGTACAGTGCTCATGCACGTGGCTGTTGGCTCCAGGCCTCAGTTCTTCACCAGGGAGCCTCTTCGTAGGGCTGCTTGAATGTCCTTATTTCATGGAATCTGTTTACTCCCAAAATGAGTGATCCAAGAACAAGGGTAAGGAGAAGAAAGGTGCATGCAGTACTTTTCATGACCGAGACTCAGAAGTCACACATTGTCACTTCTTCTATACTACTATTTCTTAGAAGTAAGTCACTATGACCAGCCCATTGTCAAGCAGAGAAGACTCAGGCTCCACTTTTAAAGAAGGGAGGAGTGTCTAAGAATTTGTGGATATATTTTAAAGCCACCACAATGAATGTTTGACTGGTTACCAGGCTTTGGCTATTACAAATAAAGCTGCTTGTAAAAATACAGGTAAATGTCTATATAGACATATGCTTTTATTTCTTTAGTGTAAATAGCTTGAAGTAGAGTGGCTAGTTCATAAGGCAGGATTATGTTTAGCTTTTTTTTTTAGGATTATGTTTAACTTTTTACAAAACTGCTTATATAGTGAAGACTGCAAAACACTAAGAAATTAAGGAAATAAAATAATTTATTTTTTGCTTTATTTATTAATGCTTATAAATAATAATGTTAATGGTATTTTATATATTAAATTTCTAAAAAAAGTTACTTTCTTTAAAGGAATTAAACCTCCCAAAATTTGCAAATTGTTTTCCAAAGTTGATTGTATCATTTTACAACAGCAGTGGATGAGAGTTCTAATTGCTTCACATGATTGTCAATACTTGTTAGGGCCACTCTTTTTAAATTTGTGTTTTCTTAGTAACTAATGATGCTGAGCATCTTTTCACGTGTTTGTTTGCCATCCACATATCTTTTTAAATTATTACGGTTTAAATTTGCATTTCTTAATGCTAATGTTACTTTCTCATGCGTTTAATTTGCCATCTGTGTATCTAATCTGGTGAAATGTTAGATCTTGTGCCCATTAAAAAAAAATTGGGTTGTTTGTCTCATTATTATTTAGTTGTAAAGGGTCCTTTATATATTCGATATATTTTTTGCCATATAAATGTTTTGTAGCTATTTTTTCCCAGGCTTTGGCCTATCCTTTTCATTTTTATAGCAGAATCTTTTTTTTTTTTTTTTTAAGAAATTTTATTGGGGAACAGTGTGTTTTTCCAGGACCCATCAGCTCCAAGTCAAGTAGTTGTCATCAATCTAGTTGTGGAGGGCACAGCTCCTTGGCCCAAATGGGAATCGAACCAGCAACCTTGGTGTTATGAGCCTGCTCTCTTAACTACCTGAGCTAACCGGGGCCTGTACCAGTATCTTTTGAAGAGCAATAGTTTCTAATTTTGATGAAGTAAATGTATTGATTCTTTTTATAGTTTTCTTTTTGTGTTCTATCAAGAAATATTTGCCAAACCCAAATTCACTAAGATTTCATTCTCTGTTTAGTTTAGATATGTGATTCATGCCAAGTTAATTTTTGTATACGTTGCATGGTAAGGGTTGAGGTTTATATTTTTTGGCTTATAACTCTTCAATTGTTTGTTCCAGCACCGTTTGCTCAAAAAATTATCTTTTCTTTATTGGCACCTTTTGTTAAAAAACTTGACCATATTGTGGGTCATTTCTGTAGTCTGTTCTGTTTCAGTGATCATTTTGCCTGTCTTTATTTCAATACCACAGCAGCCTTGAGTACTGTAGCTTTCATAAGGCAAAAATCATCAGGTAGTGCAGGTATTCCAATGTTGCTCCTTTTTTAAAACACTTGTTTGGCTATGCTAGGTCCTTTGTATTTCCATATAGATTTTCAACTTCTACAAAATGCCTTACTTGGATTTGGAGTGGGATTGCATTAAATCTATAGATCAATTTGGTGAGAATTGACACCTTACTAATATTTAGTCTTTTAATCCATAAACAGTATATTTCTACATTTATTTAATTTTTCACTGTACCAGTCTTGCATATCTTTTGTCAAATTTATCCCTAAGCATTTCCTATTTTTTTTATGGTATTGTAAATGGTATTGTTTTAAAAGTTCACAATTTCTAATTGGTCATTGCTGGCATATAGAAATACCACTGATTTTTATATATTGCCTTTGTTTTTGCAACCTTGCTAAATTTCCTTATTCTAGTAGACTTTTCTGTAGATTCCATAGTATTATCTGTATACTCCACCCTGCCACATGGTTAATTTTTATAAATGTATGTTCTTGTTTTATGTTTCTAATTCTGTCTTCAATCAACCTCATTAGTCATGCTGTTTGTTTCTTAATTCTTTTAAAAATCTATTGCTTTATATGTGTACTGTTCTTCATATTTTAAAGTTATTTTAAAATTTAAATATAACAAAATGAATTCCTTGTGATGTACAACTTTATGAGTTTTGACAGATGCATATAGTTGGGTCTCTACCCACAATCAAGGTGCAGTTCCATTAACTGTAAAAATACCCTCATATTAACCCCATTTGTTAGCCCTTACTCCTACCCCTTATCACTGGAAATTGCTGATTTGTTTTCCAGCCCTATAGTTTTGCCTTTTCCTAAATGTCATAAAAGTGGAAACGTAACAGCTTTTATAGCCTTTTGGATATGACTTATTTTACTTAGCAAAGTACATTGAGATTCATGTGTGTTTTTGCATGTGTTTATAGTTGCTTCTTTTTTTTTGCCGAGTAGTATTCAATTGTGTGGATGTACCATAGTTTGTTTCTCCAAGCACATTTGGGTTGTTTCCAGTTTTTTGGCACCTTGGAATGAAATTACTGTAAACATTGGCATACAAGTTTTGGTGTGAGCCTAAGTTTTCATTTCGTTTTATGTAAGTGTTGCTTTAACTTTATGCAATATGAGAGGTTTTAAACTATAGATTCTACTTACTTAATTCTGTTTAGGTTATTGATGTTTTTCATGAGTGGCCTTTGATAATTTTTGTCTTTTAAAGAATTTACCCATCTCATCTGTTGAATTTATAGGCATAAAATTGTTCCCCAACTTCCCTAGTTGTCCTTTTTAGTATCTGTGGAATAGGTGGTGAAGTCACTTCTCTTCTTGATATTTGCAATTTGTGACTTCTTTTTTCCTGATTGCTTTTGGCTGGAGGTATCAGTTTTATAGCTCTTCTTAAATAACTAGCTTTTGGCTTCATTGATTTTTGGCTATTGATTTTTTTGTTTTCTATTTAGTTGACTTCCACTTTGATCTTTATTTTTTCTTTCTTGTGCTTACTTTGGGTCTAATATTTTGGGTTTAACATAATACTGAAAAAATGTTTTTCTCTCTGGAAGTTAATTGACAGATTATGAAATCCTGTACTCAATCCAGATTTTTGCGCATGTGTGTGTGTGTGTGTGTGTGTGTGTGTGTATGTTTTGGTATTTAGGTGAGAACATAAGACATTTGCTAAAAGCAAGATTTTAGAGAGAATGAAATTGGTACTGTATTTAATTAGTAATAGGACACAGGATTTTCTTTCTGTTCTGAATATTGATTTTTCTGCCTGTTCATCTGACATCTGTTTCAAATTCTAAATGAGTTATGTATGTCTATCAATTATGAAAGTACTTCAAATTCCTGTGGCAAACCCTATGAAATTTCCTACACATACAGCTATCAGAGTTAAATCTGTGGCGTAATTTAAGTGGGGCAAAATATTATGAGGAATAAAATTATATTCTTGTCTGTGATCTTAGCAATCATTTAACCTAAAGGTCTATAATGTTTACTTGAACTAAGAATGTAAAACATTAACCCTCCCTCCCATCTTCCCAAATGAGTAACCTTTAAGTAATAGATATACAGCAGTTCTGGAGTTTTTTTCATTTGGTGTGTTTTGATATATGAGATTAAGAAATTTCTGTTGTGTATGGAGTGGAATTTGTATTATTACTCTTTCAGTTGTCTTTCAAAGCCTGAATTAAAATCAAGGAAATAAATTGCTCTACCCTTTGAGCATTCTATTTAAATATTAAAGCAGATTTGATTTCCTCTGTAAAATGAAGTAATTTAATTTTTTAGACAGAGGAAATTGGCTTGAAAATCAGTTTATTTTTTAAATGCTTATTATGTAGCCTTAAATAAGAAATATAGGTGTTATTAGAAATTGTAGTATTGAGGGAGGGATGTGATAATTATAGAACTCTATGTATGAAAATTACTTTTCTTTTTTTACTTTTCTAATTGTTTAATGTTACATTTTATCTTTTAGATTCTATTTGACCAAACACAGAGATCAATTAAGGCACAACTTCAGAACTTCGTTAAAGAGTAAGTCAATTGCAGTGAAGAGGAAAGAAAAGCAGCCAGTTAATTATCACCTCTGGGAGTTGGTATCTTTGGAGAGAAATTATGGGCCATGAATTCCTGAAATATTAGAGTTTTTGTTTATTTGTTTTGCTTTGTGAAATGTATATTGCATCTCTTCCTGAATTACTCTGTGAGGAAATCAGGCTTCATGACTTTCAGTGAATCATTTATACTCTGAAATATGTGTTCAGGATACATAGCTAGAAATTGTTATAGATTTAAAAATATATAAATAAGGACCTTTCTAAACCAAAGCAAACCCCAAAAGTCATCGAAATAACTATCAGTTATTGTAGTTGATATTAAGTTGTCCATTGTCTCAATATGGTATTTTCTTTGAAGATAATGAAATGTATGAGAATAAGGAATAAAAAGTACATGCTTTTGGCTACATATGAGCCTTTTGTGTCATAATCATCACATTTTATATGTGAAATACAATGAAACTAAAAATAAAAAATATCTGAACTATCCAGGTTGGAAGGTTTTCCTTTTCCACATTAATAATTCAGTTTTTCTCTTAATTTCTTTTCTTTCTTTTTTTTTTTTTTTCCAGCTGAGCCATCCTGCCACCTGTTGGCAGCTCAGCAGCTGCTCAGCTCGGGCCAGGAATCGAACCGCTATTGCTCAGAGCTCAAACTCTTGAGCGAGCTCTAAACCAACTGAGCCAGTCAGCCTGCCCTTCTCTTAATTTCTTATGAAGATTATATAAAATTACAGATAAAGTTGATTATGATACAGTATTCAGGATAAATTATAGATGTTATGCTTTACATAGTGGCAGATCGCTTGAACATAATGCACTGCCATTTTAGTAGGTTAGAATAGCCCTGGAGGTGATCTTACAGATTCTTTTTAAATTACTTCGCAATAAACCAACATTCAGAATGTCCTTATAGAATGTATACATGAAAGTTAATGGCTTCTTACAAAGTTTAAAGTATTACTTAGGTGTACTTTATTCTTATTTTAAAATTGTTTGTCTTCAAGTTATTTTGCCTACTTTCCTGGTAGAAAAAGTAGAAGCAAAGGGATATTTTATGTACTTACCTGAGATCATTAATGAATCAAGGGTTTCAGATTTTCAGACTGTTGAAATGGATCCTTTTACCCTTTATGGGTAAAGCAATTCTTTTAGAAGGGATTATTAGTATGTATTTTAAAAACACTTTTATGTCATTTGAACTAGTAGTACCCTTCAACAAGAATTGAATGTTGTTTCTTGAAGTGTAGTCTATAGACCTCCCATAGCAATAAAATCAAGGGTGTGTCTTAAAAACCCCCTCAAACTTTTAGGACTTATCCCAAAGACTAATGAATTGTAATCTCTGGGAGAGGAACCTTGGTATTTGTATTTTTAACAAGTTCCTATGGTGATTTTTATGTGTACTACTGTTTAAAAATCATTTGGTGAAATAATGGTACATGTCCCTGAATTTTAGGAAAAAAAAAATTTTTTTTATGTTTCTGTAATGTTAATTTAATAATTTATTTTCACCTCAAATTTACAGATTTAGGTAAGGAAATGTTAGCTGATTATGTTGGGGATAATATGTAATTGAAAAACAATATATATATATATATATATATATTCAGAAGATCTATTGAGTGTAATTGTACAGTGAATCAAATATATAGAGGAATGTAAGAATTAAATTCTAAGTTATTTTGCTGAAGTTTTTGATTAAGAGAGTTTTTCACTGTTTTTATTTTTTAGAGATCTTAGAAAATTCAAAGATGCCAAGAAGCAATTTGAAAAAGTCAGTGAAGAAAAAGAAAATGCATTAGTAAAAAATGCTCAAGTACAAAGAAACAAACAACATGAAGTTGAAGAAGCTACAAACATCCTGACAGCAACAAGAAAATGTTTTCGACACATAGCCCTCGACTATGTACTTCAGGTATATTTATTTTATATTTTCACAAAATGCTTACTAAACATGTTATTACTTTTGAGTGATTGCACTGAAAAGAATAAATAATACTTTTTAAATTTTAAAATTAAACCATGATCTTTTGTTTATATATATGTATATGCATATTTATGTTTGTGGATATGTATAACTGGTTCTTTTCACTTAATGTTATAATTTTCCCCATTTTTAAATTTGTAAAAAGCATTTTTAGTTATTACATTTCATTCTGTGGAGTTGCTGTATCAATTTAATTAATATTATCAAACTTTTTTAGTGTTTCCAGTTTTACTGGTAATAATGAAAATATAATTTTCCATTGTAACATCTTTGTATACAGATTTTTGCCATATTTCTGATTTTTTTCTTTAGATTCTTAGAAGTGCTAATTGCCAAATGAAAAATATTTCTAGAAATAGTGTTCTCATATTTGCATTAGGTGCTGCTTTTTAAAACTAGAGATCAGTGTTTGGTAAGTTGCATGGTGATCTTCTGGTTCGATGTATTATTGAAACCAATTTGAATGTGATAGGTCTCTAAAGAAATTTGAGAGAAATGAAGAATGAAGGCATGCATTAATGTCACATGTATATTATGGATTCCTATGGGTCATGGAGTTTAAAGCTTAGGGAATTATCTTTTCTAAATCTCCTTTTATAAAATAGTAGTGCAGTCCCCAGAGATTGTTGACTTAATGATGATCACAAAGCATTTCTTTTAAAAAACCATAAGTAACCATATACAAGTTAGTGATTAAAAACTACTTACATAACTTTGCAAAACAGTAGAAAATGACTTTCAGATGTTTTCTATAAGTCCCATTCAGTAAGTGGGAAGTTAAATTTAAAAAACGAAGTACACTACATTCATTAATGAAAGGCTTCTAGAATGACGTAGTCTATATTTCTTGTCTCCTGTTACCTACCTCACATTCATAACACTTCTTGTGGTAACATGAATTTTCAGTCTTCCTACCCCATTCCACTGAAGTGGCTCTTTGCTAGTCTTATTCATTAGGATACACTTTAGTTTTTAGCCAACTTGACAGTTGTTTCTTTGAAAATGTAGGCAACACCCTTCTTCTTAAATATACTTTTGTCTTGATTTATCTCAAACCACTTTTAGGTCATCTTCTCAACTTCTATTTCTTTTCAGTTTCCACCATGCACTTCTCTCCTTTGTCGACTGTTTCAATCTCTTTTGCAGGGTTTCATCTTTGGTCCTATTCTTTACTGACTTTATGATTTTCCTGACAGTTTCATCATGCCCCTTTCTTGAATTACCACCATATGGAGATGACAAAATCTGTTTTTTGCAGAGGTACCTCATTCCTTTTGTGTCCAAAACTGAAATCTTCCCAAACAACTTTTTTTGTTCTTACCTAACTGAATGGCATAACCCACTTTTTTAAAAAAATTAAAGTTTATTGGGGTGACAATAGTTAGTAAAATTACATAGGTTTCCAGTGTACAATTCTGTAATACATCATCTGTATATCACATTGTTTGTAAACCACCCAGAGTCAATTCTCCATCCATCACCATGTATTTGATCCCCTTTACCGTCTTCTGCTACCCCCCTCCACTTCCACCTCCTTGGCATAACCGTCTTAATCATAGAATTCAAAATTAGAGAATTATATCAGGTATTCTCCTTATTCTCAGCTACTATATCTAACAACCAAAACTGCCTTGAACAGTTCTGTTTCACACCCTTGCTGCAGCCCTAACACCAATCCTTACTGTTTCTTATCTAGAATGTTAAGATATTCTCATATGTTTGGACTTTTCTTGCATTGCTTTTACCTGCCGTTACTAATTCATTCTCTGTTCTGTGGTCAGTCAGAGTCACTCAGCCTTCTCCAGGCCAAGTAAGTCCTTCTTGCTTCTGCCTCCTGTGTGCTGCCATAATATTGTCATTCACATTGCAGATGGAGCACTTATCCTATTTATTGTAATTATTTATAAGTCTTTTCTGCTCCTAGATTGTATCCCTCCCTTATAATCTACTGCTTGGAAAATAGATAGGTAATAAATGTTTTTGAAAGAATGACTTGCTTAATTTTAAATTTTATTTTGGGAGGGTAAATTCAGCTAAAATATCATTATTCTCAAATTTACATATTATAAATTATTTCCTTTTATGTCCATTCAGTAGTTTTAAGTTAGGACCCCCACGGTCCCCATAACTGTTAGTTTGATTTTTTTTCTTCAAAGATTTTTATTGGGGAATTTGGGGGGATGGGAACAGTGCTGGGGAATTGGGGGAAGGGGAACAGACAAGTTGCTGTCGTTTTGTTCTTCAGTCTAGTTGTGGAG